GTTTTACTTGTTACAAAGAAAAGGAAATATACATTGTTTGAGATTTCATACTCTCAGAAATAAAAAAGGATTCTTTAATATGATAAAGGAAGCATATTTTGTAGGTTTTATGATGATTTTTTCCAGTCATAATTTGTCTTAAATCTATATTAAAAAAAAAAAAAAACAAAAAAAAAAAAACACTATTAAACAAATTGTGAATCGTACTGAATCATGAGTTAACCATACGTATCGTTACATCCCGACAGAAATCTGGTATTAAAGTGGTTAAATTCATTATGAAAAGAGCAATAATCTATTGTGGAGGCTTGTGATGGAGGAATGGCTCAAAATAATAAACATTTTATGACCACAGCGTATCCAAGCAACAGGCAGAACTGGGAGCTTTCTTACCACATTTGCTGGTAGCTTGTGCCCGGGGAGATACTTCACATTTTCATGGTCAGTGTTGATTATTTCAGTCAGTTTTCGGCCATTCACCATCTCCTCAAACACCCACATGTTCACAATGTCGTCAAATTTTGAATTCTGAGCAGTATTGGCACCCACTATCTTGGCGATGGCAGAACCCCTGTTGTGTTAGTAGTCAGAGGTTAGCACTTAAAATTACGTAAGAAATAAATCTGTGTAAATTCAAAGTAACATGGCAAGAAAACAGTGAGTGTGGGTGTGTAAGAGATCCACTTATAATAAGCGGAGGTGGTTAAAATGATCCAACAACCAGTGATTTTGCTTTCTGAGTCTTGGTGTTAAACACTTTCAGAGTTATTACTCTCATGTGAGGGCTGATGTGATCAACAGGTCATTACCTAATTATGGCTCCTCATGTGTTCCCTATTGGTTGGCTTTAAGAGTTGCTGCTCTTTGATCGTGAAACTGGCTGTTTTCTGAGCAGAATGACCTGGACTCAAGATAAGATGAGATAACGTGGCTGTCTACCCTCGATGTTGCTCTTGCTGTTGAGACAACACTGCGCCGAACTCCATTGAGAAATCTGCTGTTTTTATGTGCGTTTGCACCACAGTAATGTTACATAGGAGTTATACATGATTTTGAGGCACTCTTTTGATGAATGCTGCCAGCACAGTAATTCGGCATAAAAACAAAGCATAAAGCGTCATTGCTGGATTTCCAACAATCGTAAAAACAGTGCATAAAACAGGTTTTTAAAAACAAATACAATGAATCTGTTGAGTCGATAAACCAAAGCTATATGCCGAATTAACCAGAACACTTTAAATATTCAATCATGACTTGAAATTATGTTTAATCTCAGTAAATAAACGATGTTACTTTAAACTATGAGACTTTTGAATAGAGTTTGGCGAGTGGTGTCACCCACAGAAAAGCACCCACCGAGGGAGGGTTGGGGGGCTTCTCTTCCCAAGACTGCATCTTAAAGCCCATTGTGGATGGCTACGATTAGATAATGGCTGTAAAACAACGCTAATTAAAACACATTTCTCCCGTAAGGCTAAGGACAGTGAAGCGAACACATGTTGCTGACACATTAAATAACCACAAAATCCCATTAATCGTGACTGACATGTGGTCAGCTTTCTGTACACTCAGCCAAATGATGCAGTCTGTGAATGAAAGATAAAAACTGGCTTATGTGTTTAAAAAAAACAAAAAACAAAAACGTTATATATCAATAGTTAATGCTATAAAAACCTTGCAAACATTAAACTTAATGGTACAAACGTGGCTAGTTAACGTTAGCTGGCTGGTTGCCCGGTGATGCTAAGTTGGTTAGCAACGGTGCACCGGGCTGAGCGTTAGCAACGCACTCGTTTAAGTTCGCCATGTTTGAACCCCCTGCGTCGGCTTTACCCTTAAAACACATTAAATCAACAACAACTTACCAGTTCCCAGAGCCAATGATGCAGACTTTCTTCGGAGCTGCCATTGCGGAGGTGAAGCCGATGAGAGGTGGAGGTGGACGGACGGTGACTTGCCGCTGTGGACCCGCAGTACGGTTATGCAACCAGCGCTCCGGTTTTATTGGCCTGTCCGAGGCGGGCGGAGACACCGGCCCGCCCACCGCAGCGGGGGGCCAAGTCTGGTCATTCATTCACCGACCGGAGGAGGGTTAGTGGGTGCAAAGGGAAATCGGTCAAAAGTCTCAGTGTGACACGTCCGATTCATGTGATAGAAAGATTCTGTAATTATAAAGGTGGAGAGTGCGGTGCTTAAAGATCCTGTTCAATGCATAACAATAACAACAACAACAATAACAATAACAACAATAACAATAGCAGAATAAACTGTATATTCACCCCAAAGAGTAAATGCAATAACTGTGAGCACCAGAGGTTAGTTTTTCTATAATTTTCTGTCTGTATTCTGTATTTTGTTTTATTTTTAACAATTATATTTCAAATTCAGTGTTTTTTGTTGTTCTGTTGGTTCTTTATTGGTTTTAACTGTGTACATTTCTAATGCAGGACAATGCTGTTAAGAAGAGAGTTCAACGTTTAGATCTTGAATAATAATCTACACTATAAAATAATATAGGTTTGTTCACAGAAATGAAAGAAATGCTACAGGTCGACAGTGTGCATTAAGTTTTCTTCCACCACTTATAATGGAGACGGCCTCGTGACTCCCATGTTAAGCCTTGTTGACCCCTAGTGTGAGTCCCAACCCCCAGGTTAGGACACATATATAATAATCTGCTTGGAACAATAATGTGTGTTTATTTTTCTACAAAACAAAAGCACAATTTCCACATTTAAATAGTTAAAATACTACGAATATATATATTTTGTTTGTGTGTGTTTAATCTTTGTGCAATTTCTATCCTTTAAGACAATATTATATTTATATTTTTAGTATAATGAAACACACTGTGTGCAATATTCCATTATACATAACTGTATATATAAAATACATAGTCTACATATAACTCTTATTTTCTATTTTATTTTTATGTGTATTTTTCTTATCTGTTATGTTGTGTTGTATCTTGAGCTGCTGCTGCTGCTGCTATATATATATATATATATATATATATAATGTATATTATATTACATATATATGTACAATATGTGTAATATCAGTATAATCTGCAAAAAGGAGAATATTGGAAACACCTCTCATGATCCAATGATGATAACACACTTATAAACTGGCAACTAAACTACCTAATATTACACAAAGTGGTTAAAAACGTCCACAAGCTACAACATCCTTATATGTTTACACACATTTTTATATAAACAGCTCATTCTAAGGTAACAAAAGCACAAATATTCCCACATTCAGGTGATTATACACTAATGAAAACGTATTGATTAATATTATATTACATTCCTGCCAGTAGATCCTCCTAAATGTTTCACACTGGACCTTTAAAGGTACTTTTTAAATACTGTACTGTAGCACTGTGTCTGATTAGTGCCCTACAAACCTTTTCTATTTTAAAATGCCTCGCTCCCTCTACAGTGCGCTCACAGGATGCAGCCTGTGAGCAAAATAAAGCCAGCACATTAAAAGTCATGAAAGCAAACGTAGAAAAGATCACTGTGGGAGAAATTATTTGGTCTGGAGGGCTCAAACAAAAGAGGACCTTGTTGCGTAAGAGTTGGAGCAACGAGGAGAATAAAGGAACGTAGGAAGGAACAAAACTCCAGATTCAGCAGTGTGGTTTCTACGAGCAAGCATAAACCGAACAAATCCAGCTCAGCACAGAGTTTAAATAATATAACTCCACCACAAACATAAAGTGTCATGAAGTCACAAGTGTTTTCCTCATGTGATTACAGTTCACTGAGCTAGAAGCTAGAAGCTCTGTGAGGCTGTACTCTAGACATACATAGTATCTCACAATAATAATGTTAACAAATGCTGATGTTTTACGTGTAATGTTCACTATCTTGAGTGAAGTGTTTTAGCATGCTTACATTATCTTAGCACCAACATCTCTGTCCTGTTCTTATCTTTATGTAACTGGTATATAGCGCCGACCGCTGAGGGCTGACTGGGGACCGAGCGCTCTCAGTCACTAAACCCTCTCAGGAAGACTCTCTCTGTGTGCTTATGTTGCCATATTTTGCCACATATTTCACTCACTTACACACTAAGTTTGCTGCCATCCACAACTCTTTTGTAATTTCATGTTTTTTGGAAATAAATTAGTTAATTTAAAAGGTCCAGTTGTTGCAACTCTCTTTGCTTCACCAAGTACAAAGGAGAAGCTATAGTGGATGCATAACTCACAAAATACACAGAAGACCATATAGCTACAGTCCGTGTTCGGTTTGTCCATTCTGGGCTACTGTAGAAAACATGGTTCAACATGGCGGCCTTCATAATATTTGACCTCTGACATCTGTAGATAGAGACTCATTCTAAGGTAACGAAGATATAACAATTCATGTTTTTAGGTGATTATAAACTAATGAAAACATACCTGTGAATATTGTGTTACAATTCTACCAAAAGATCCTCCTAAATGTTTCACACTGGACCTTTAAAGTACTTTTTGAATGTTTAAGTTAATTTTTTGGTGCATTTTCTCCTTTTGAGACGATCCTGACAAATTGGGGGCTCGTCCCAAGCACTGACAGTAGGCTATATATGGTCTGAAGTGGACGACCCACCAACCAATTACATAAACCCACAAAAGAGCAAAAAAAAAAGAGGCTCAAAGTTATTACAATTCATCCTGAGGAGGAACATTAATGTGGAAATGTGGAAATCCATCTTGCAGTTGTTGACTCCAGATGTAAACCTCACGGTGGGATCTGACGTCAAGGAAATTAGTAAAAAATGTTTTATTTATTTAGGACCAAAGTGGTCTATCGATCACCATCCCGAGAGCCTGGCATGACTGAAAATGGTAAACAAGTGAAAATCTGTACAGAAAATAATATACAGTGAAAATAAATCTGTTTCTGCTGTAGATTAATTTGTGTTTCACATCCAGATACTGACTCTCAGATATATAAACACACATATATTCCAGAGTATAAATGATGACACGTGACACCTCAAAGTAAATAAAAGTTACGTAAAGTTAGCATTTAATCTTTAATATAACAACTTCTTCAAGTTCATGATTTATCTACACATCACCAGACTAAAATAACCAACCTTTCGTATATTAAAGTAAAACAGGAGGATTAAAAATGGAGGCAAAAATATAAGAAAAACACAGAAAAAGCAACGACGGCCTGGAAGGACTTTTTTTTTTGATGTACTCGTGCGGTGGAAAATAACAATCCAGCTGTTCATTCTTCAGGTTTAAGCTGCTGTGACTGTAGCAAATACAAAAGAAATGGCATCATACTTTTTAATATTGTCTTTGATAAATATACTTTTCATATATACAGAAAAATGAAGCTGAGACACACAACTACTCTACGTTAAATAAATACAAGTATTACAGACAGCTCAGCCTATTCTAACACGATTATTATCAATAGCAATATTTACATTTACATTACAGTTGATGGTATGATTGTGCTTGATAATAACACTACACAGCAACACACTATACAGTTCCCCCATTCCCCTCAATGGGAATCTCTTAAAACCGAATACTGTAAAATGTTTTGTAAACAGAGTTCGAATAATGAGGCAAAACCCCCTTAAACATGCACACGACATGTTTGCAGCCTAACCGATAACAGATACAGTGTTTTTTTGGATATATGAGGGCGGCATGTTTCCTTCCAACCAGCTTCTGATTGACCGCACACAGATCGATACATGCTCACAATATATACAACCGAACGCGAAGACGGATGACGACACACGTTTGAGACGCCTACTGTACAAAATGCTACATGCAACTCGGAGCCCTAAAAGATGGCAAAACACATTCAACATATTTATACTCAGTAATTGTTTTATCTCGCCGTGTTCGCACGCTGATGAACAGCACGTACAAATGTATGACATTCCCTTAAATTAATGCAATAAAGTCTTTATAGTTCTGATAGCGATGAATGGAAATCAGACAGTACGTAGCACCTGGTTGATGTGGAGGAGAGCTTTTTAAAATATCGGTTCATAATATGTGTACATTGAATTTTGTTGTATATCCATTCAACTCTTTTTTTCCATGTTAGAATACTTGTTTCAGCTCATTTACTCAATGATTTACTCTCACTCTCAGTTAAATATGAGGCTACAGTCTGCAGCCAGTTAGGTTAGCTCAGCATAAATCCAATTAAAAGACCAGTGTGTAGGATTTAGTAGCATCTAGTGGTGAAGTTACAGATTGGAGCCGACTGACCGACTACAGCTCCTCTTCCAAGAGTTTAGGAGAAACTACGGTGGCTGAAAATCACAAACGCCCCTACAGCCAGTGTTTGGTTTGTCCGTTCTGGGCTACTGTAGAAACATGGCAGACTCCTTAAAATGGGGTTTCCTCCTTCTCCCTCTGCTCCTTTTTTAAATAAAGATGCTTATTCTTTGCAATCTGTTGCACATTATAGAAATGTCTGTGTAATATATGAACATAATTTGTTAGGGTTAAGGTTTTTATAACTCTGTTGTACAATATAGAAACCTCTGCATCTTTTGTTAATTTGTTTCAAAATAATTATAAGGTAACAAAAACACAACAATTCTTATTTTCAGGTAATTATAAACTAATGAAATCATACCTATGAATATTATATTCCATTTCTGCCAATAGATCCTCCTAAATGTTTCACACTGGACCTTTAATGACTTCCTGGACTCTTATTGTTACCTTTATGGTTACGCCACAAAGTCATCCATAAAACTGTATAATGTAGAAAATGTACAGATTAAACAAATTAGATATAACGTGTTCATTTGTGAGCTTTGCTGCTTCAGGTGCATTTTATTATCATCAGACGCAGCCAGGCTAGCTGTTTGCAGTCTTTATGCTAAACTAAGTTAACCGAGTGGTGTTCATCTTCTCATCTAATTCTCCACCAGAAAGCGAACAAACTTATGTCCCGGAAGTCAAATCACTCAGGGGTTTCTTGTTGTTGCTACAGCTGTACTTGGTCCGATATGACCAGTAGCTTATGGTGGTTCTCATAGAAGGAAAAAACACAGGTGTTACTAATAACATTAATAAAGGCTCTGTTCTATTTTTAGTGTCCCTGTAAGACTGCACGATACCAAGAGCCTGAAACTGAAGCAACTAAATGGAATTCAGCCATCATTGTTTATTATTTACGCCTGTTCTATTCCTGCTACAAGTCAAAATGTCTTCTGTAAAAAAAACGCTGTAAATGTTAAGTGTGCTCGCTCTGCTCATTTTCATACAGGAAGGTGACCTTTTTGTTATTAATTTGATTGGGTTGTAAAATCTTCGTGTCACCCTTGCAAGATGAGGTAGTAGAGTATACTGGCAAAATGCTCAGGTTTTTTAACAAGGGAAGACTTTTTTATAAGATGAGGCTGGCAAGACATGAATAAAAAATGGAGGGAAAAGTCAAGAACAGATAAGCAAAGATGAAAGCAAACTGCAAAGGACACAAGTGAAAAACGAAGAGTAGCACTGACATGCAAATTCCCAAAAGAAAAATGACCTTAAATAGTTAAAAAACAATTAATTGTAAGTGAAAATGAACTTGTCACATCAAGTATTTTACAAAAAAAACTCCTCAGATTGACAGATGACGCACACCACCAACACAGCTGAGATTTCTAAAGCAGATTTACTGAACAAAATATGAACCATAGCTTAGTTCATGCCCCCATTTACTGTATCTGTTACTATGTCTTGAGAAGCTGTTTTACAGATGACCATGCAGTTATTCTGACACTTTTGAATTCTGCTCTCCTGCCGTCTTTTGCCGTGGCTTCCTCTGACTTCGGCCACATTCTGAATTTGTTGCTCACAGACCTTAAACAGGCAGAGTTCAGACATTTACTCTGTTGCTCCCGCAGTCCGACAAACTGCAATGAACAAAGTCCACGAATAAGCTCAGAGACAGGAGAGTGCAGTGGCGAATAAAACCCTCCCCCTCACGCCTGCAGGAGCCTAGTGAAAGTTACTGACGTGACACTTGACATCATCTAAACTCAGCACCGTTCCCTGGTCGTTGTTGTTGTTGTGCTTGTGCTTCTTATTGGAGCAGCGACACAGCTTGTACTTTATCACCTGAGTAGATAAAGAAAAACGGGGAGAAGGTCAACCACGATAAACACACATTTTTGGCTCAACGAGGATTCTGGGAAAAGAGAGACGACGTGTTTGCATGCAGGATTTTAGAAATACTCCAGAAGTCTCCACAATACAACTTGAAATATTTCTAATTATTCTATTTTTCATATTATTATTTTTCAGATAACTCACACAAAGATCTAAATACTGTTTCAAAGCTTTTTCCAACGTCAGTAATAAAGCTGTGATTGCAAAATACTGTTTCATTTTCTTTGTTAGTTCTTTGTTGGCCTAAATCGAGTCAAATTTAAACATATTGAATCTAAAACTAGAGAAATCTGCACATAAAATACCTCCATGTTGTACATTCTGCAGCTCCGCTAACGTTGCCAAAACACCCACAGTCCCAGAAAAACATACATATGACCTTGGTGCCCTTGATGGTAGCTGCAGCTCTGTATAAAGTAAATACTTATATACATGCAGTAGGATACGAGTCTCACCTCATAAAGATAGTCAAATAACTCCAGTATGGTGAGTATGCTCGCCCCAATAAAAAGCCCCATCTGACCACCGATATCACCTGGAATAAGAAGATAAAAATAACCTATTATAAAGAGAGAAAGATAACCCATCTACAGTATATAATGTAGTAAATCTGTACCTAATAGTCCAGCCACTTCATAAGCCTTCTTCTGTTCAATAGTTTCATAGTTGAGAGCCTCAAAAAAGATGTCTAACACCAGAATATTCTCCCTGCGGAGGAAAGCAAGAGAGTCAAAACATTCATTTTCCATTTTAGGCAACACTTAAGTCACCTTATTCAGCATTAATACGCAGCACAAACATGTAGTTTAAACAGAAATAAGCGTTAACAGCTATAACTCCATACAACCATCACGTAATGAATGACAATACAGTAACACAATTGTAATAAAATATATCTTAATATGAGAAGTTATAAATTATTCTTATATCTGCATTATAGAGAGTTATAAACAATGTATTTAATGTTTATATACTGATTATAAATGCTCAATAAGGGGACTTAAGGTGAAGCGTTACCCCATTTTAATTTATCTTTGATTAATGAATGTATTTTTCTTTATTTTTGGTAATAACTTTTCATTATAAGTATGTTCCTTTTTAAAGATCTATAAATTAAATATATAATCATGTATGTGACATTTTTCTTTTATAGGCTATATATTGTTTTCTTTTTCGTTTTTCCTTTAACAAAACAATATCTTGTATAAATATTTTTAAATAACAGAAGTAATTCAGTGGAAACAGAATCGTGCACTAAAGCATGTATAAAAAAAAGGAAGTAATTAAGAGCATTAAAGTATGGTTGATCCTTACTTAATATACTGCTCAGATTTGTTGTATTTCTTTGCGAGATATTTAGCCGAGGCCTTGCTGGGGATCTTGACGAAGGACAGCTCTTTGCTGTATCTGGTCATGTTGCATGGCGTCTCACACACACAGAAATCATTGTCTCTCTCCACCAGGAAATCTGGAGAGAAGAAAGCCAGAAGCTCAGCTTGACCTTTTGAACAGATCCGTGCGGCTGTGACTTAAAGATGTCGTACGATGATATGTGTGTGTGTGTGTGTGTGTGTGTGTGTGTGTGTGTGTTTTCTTTGTATCAGTTCCTTAAAGATTCAGAGGGACGAAGCCATTTTTCTTACCAAGAGCTGGGTCAGCACATTCTTTGTACAGCTCCGGGGTGCAGTAGGGTGCATCGCCTGGAGCCAAAGCAACACACACTCACATCAATTTCATTTTTTTTTTTTTTAGGCTTTGAAGTGCTGACAGTCTTTTTTTTTTTTACACTGCAGCATCATTGATGTAACTCTGATACAACGTAAGGCAAGAGTGGTGTCCTACCCGGCATGTGCACCATGCGACAGTTGCAGTTGTCCACCAGGTAGCGCGTCTCACAGTCGATGCGACAGGCCGTGATGCTGTAACTATCAAAGAAGTCTGAATCCATGGCCGTCACCTTACAGTCTCCCCAGGGTGGAGGAAGATAGATCAGCTGCAACAACAACACATCAGACATCACGTCACGTATTAAAGCAGTTTTTCTACTCTATTGATTTATTTTACCTTTGTTTAACCACATAAGTCAACTGAGAACCAATTCTGATTTACAATGACGGCCTGGCCAAGAGGCAGCAACAGGAGGCGAGTCGATACAAGACATTAAAAGTTTCCACACAAATAGTATTACTACTTCTTTATATTAAGTATATATGTGTACCCGCATGAATCAAAAGCAGGATGCTGCCGGTGAAGAATTAATCATGGAAACAGAAGAATAAAACTACTAAATCAAATGTTTATTCTATATCTGTGATTTAAAAATGATAATTCTGGTTTATTACAACTTATATCTTATTCTGACAGTTTGGGCTCCTTTCAGTAATAAACACTTTAGCTGAGATCAAGAAACAATTCCAGTTTTCTAAAAAGAAGTTACAGACAAACCCCAGGTTGGGAAAACTGATTAGGGAGAGAAAATTAAGACACATTTAAAACATTAAAATACACAAACTGTTATTTCAAACATCAGGTAACACTTCACAATAAGACACACGATGTCCTGAGCAAGAAAGACCTAATCAGTGATGAATAGTTAATAAATAACTCTGAACTGAGGACTATGTAGACAATAATGACGAGAGATACTATATCAGCTTATCACCAGGTAATGATTTGATTGTCTCTGTCTGCCCTTCTCTCTCTCTCTCCATATCTCAGCAATTACTTTAATGAGTACAGTATTCACATGATGAATATACATGTCATATATCATATACTAATAAACATGTCATATACTATAAGTGATGTGATCCTACATGAACACAATATTTTCTGCCAGAGTTAGAGCAGTCACTTTGAAACAACAGCGTCTGCCAGATGAATAAACGTAAGTGGTTTGGCTCCGTTGGATAAAGGTGATGTGATGTGCGTCCTTACACAAATCAGAATTTAGCATTTGAATGACAACAGGAGGACAGTTGTGGGGTTGTTTGGTTGCAAACCTGATCAAACTACACCTACGCAGTCCTGATGAAGCAGCCTGACATCTAACAAATAAATAATAACAAAGGATGCTTTTTTTTAATGAACTAACTTTTATTTTTTGCTTATTTAGTCATGAAGAACTTAAAGGTCCAGTTTGTAATATTTAGGAGGATCTATTGGCACAAATTAATTTAATATTCACAGGTATGTTTTCACTTGTGTATAATCACCTTTCATGTTGAACCAGCATGTTGCTGTAGTTTCTCCTACACACTTAGTTCTCATTCTCAGGTTGTCAGATACAGACGCGAGAGGTGTTCAGTGAGTTGCAATCTGCAACGTCACCACTAGATGCCATTAAATCCTCCATACTTATACCACATGTACATATAAAGATGACTTGTACCCTCTGTTCCTGGCAGGAGACAAATGTCTGAAACCCGGGCGCCACTCCGAACCCGAGCTGGTCAATGAAGGACGGCTCGTCCTGGCTGTGGATCTGGACTTTGACCCCAGCTTCAAATGATGTCTCATCTGCAGGAAGTCAAATAATGAGAAATCAGAGCAACGTGGCGTGAAAATGTGTTTCGCTAATGAATCCAGACACTTAGAAGGGGTTTGTCTCTGAGTTTCACACTCTGAGGTATTAACGCTCGCACAGACCGCCCACACACACACACACACACACAGTTGTTAGAGTGAGACAGATAACCGGACCTGGCAGCCGATGATTGGAGTGAATCCCCACTCACCTGTTTCTCCCCAGACAGGGAGGTATTCATCCTGCTGAATGTCCAGCATGAGCTCGAGTCCATTACCCATACCTCCCTTGGTGGTGATGAGGGGAGGGCGTCCATCATCGCCGGCGTTAAAGGTGTAACACTTCCCGTAGCGAGTGAAAACCTGAGAGACACATCAAGAAAGATTTCACAGCTTTAAAACGGAAAAGAGTTTCTTAACAATGCTTTTCCACTGGGGGTCAGTGTTGGACTCTTTTCTTATATGTGTGTGTGTGAGTGTGAGTGTGTGTGTGTGTGTGTGTGTGTGTGTGTGTGTGTGTGTGTGTGTGTGTGTGAACATGTGTGTATTCAATAGAGATAGTGTGAGAGAAAAGGAACATGTGTGACAGAAAAAGAGGGCGAGACAAGGAGAGTGGAAGAGAAAACGATAGAAGAGGGAAAAGGAGGTCTTCCCGTGGGTTTGTGGGTTACACAATCAACCCAGTGAGGTGATGGAGACTGGCAGACTGGTGATTTAACATTCCCTCGCATGCTCTTTATGGCACTTATAATGGACCTGATGTTACCATGGAGACCAAGCATCCCAGCCAGGAAGAAACGTAGAATTAAATTTTTAAAGAAAAGCCGAGACACAGATGTTACATTGAAGCCGTGTGAGATATCAGCAAAAAGCACACATGACATGTTTAAACAGCCATGAGTGCACAACAGTAAATAGACGGAAACGTATCAATATGGAGCTTCGGCCTCTTTCGGCGAGGAGTTAATCTTGCATTAGAGCATTTAGTGTTTCATGAGTCACACAACCCATGCAGAGAGAATGAGTGAGAGAGTGGGAGAGCAGGGAGTAATGGAGGGCAGGGATGTAAAGTGAAAGGGACAGAGAAAGGGAGAAAGGGAGAGAGGGAGAGAGGGAGTTTAGCTGCTGACGCTTGGAGCAGACTATTGTTCAGCGTTATGGCACAGAATGACATATCTATGATTAGAAAGAACAAACCAACCAAGTAATTGTTGAGAAAGAGTTCGGGTCCTGCCAAGGGCAGTTTAAACATTTCGGCCATCTATCAAGTCAGCGAGAGACTGCTGGTTGCAGAAGCAGACATCAATCTGAGCAGGGAAAGAAAACACATCCGGCGCTATCAAGAAAGGCAAATGAAAGGCACAGCGAGCCACAAACAACATTTTGACTCGTACCAACAAAACCTGAAGGGACAGAGAATTGTGTTTGTTTTATGTGAGCGAGACTTAAGAGTCTACAGCTCTGAAAGGCCGCAACCTAAGGCGTCAGCGTACGTCATCAGAACTGCTTGTCGGACAGTTGAAGAGCTTTGGAAACCCCCCTCCGACATCTTTCTGACGTCAGAAATTCTGTAAGTTTCTGAAACCGACAACATTCACACTCACTTCACACTGTGATTGTCCGGCTGAGCGAACAGGGGGAGAAAGGAGCCAAGTCTTGAACTCTCAAGCTTTCTTTTAAAAAATCGAGGTCAGAACCTTTAAACGTGAAAGTCTGTCCCTGACTTACTCAGTGTAGTGATGAAGTAATACCATTGGTCGTTGCTCTTTCAAAATGGATAAGAGCAAGTTGACCACACAAGATCCAGCCAGCAGAGTCCTGTTATTACTATTTCTGGCATTTCTTTATGTAAACAACCAATATATAACACTATAAATGCCTTCCAGAAGTGAAATTGTGCCGCAGGTGACCTTGACTAAACACTCATTCCCACTCATTGGTCACATGCTCTGTGAACCCTGCTGGCTTGTTTAACATCTGTAAGAACCGACCCCAGCTGTCAGAAAAGACAGCTGCCATGTCTCTCAGCAAATGCAAAAGCATAAATGTGTCGGATCGTACAGCGGCTGCACTTTACTGTACTTCATAAATAAGTCAGTCATTACATAAACGTTGAAGTCCATGTGTATGACGGGCGCATGATGTGATCGATACCACCTTCCCCCCAGCGAGGGGACGTCAGGTAACATTTGTTCTCTGCCTTTTGCTAAATAGTTGATGTTGTGACAGAGGTGGTAAAAATAAAAACATCCAACATGTATAATGCACAAGATCTGCACAGCATGCATACTGTGGCTGCTTGTTCTGCTTGTTATGAGGAATGAATAAATGATTGTGCACATATGAAAAAAGGTTATCTGCAGCAGAAATCATATGGCACACGAGTGAAGAGAAAGATTCTGACTTCTGAAGAGTGAAAAATTTAGTTTACTTGTTAGTTTTGACATGTGTGCCCTTTGAACACTCTTCATAAAACGGATAAATCCTTTTTTTTTTCTCCACAGAATTTAATACATTACATTACTAACTGCAGTTTTCACAGGGCTATAATCTTCCCAGCTCTGTGATCAATAAAGCTGTCACTCACACACAATTTCCCATGTATTGAAAAGCACTCAACAGAGCTCGACTGTAATTAATCATTATGCACATAATTATGCATATCCGTTTTTTTTTTTTTTTTTAGGGGCCACACCAGATTTTGAAAGAATCTCTAAATCACAAATCCGTGCACTTTCCCATCCATTTACTGAGGTCTTCAGTCATGCAATCTGTGAGCTGCTAAAAGACGTCTCAGCAGGATAAGTTCAATCCATTAGTGCTCTGTTGTTTTATGGGAATGTTTTCAAAGACTTTAAAGCCGTCTCGGTTAAGTGCAAACACTTTCACTGTTATTATGCTGTACACTTAAACAGCTACCGCGGGGGGAAAAAAATGCTATTTAAATGCAACAGCGAGCAGACGGTGGCCCGCGGTGACCAGCACTAAAATATATCCACGTGTTGCATCCTGTTTGTGTAATTTAGGTCTGTAATCTGATTACAGTAAAACCTGGGATAAAAAACTATAGGCAACTGGGTACCTTCATACACGAGTAACCTTCAAGAAAATAAATAAAGGGATGCATATTAATAAGACAGCAGGAGGGCTCCAATATGGTGGAGACCGCCTGCTGTAGACTCTTCAATATGGTGCCTGAGGGTACTTGTGAGCAGCCCACAGAGTATGTTCTTTAATCTTAAACTCACATTTCTTTTTCATAACACTTGCAAGGAAGTGTATGAATAGTTTCCATTGTGTCAAAACATTTAAATGCATTACTGATATGTTTTTATTAATTTAAATAGCACACTGGAGCCGTCTTCCTTATTCTGCTCTTCCGCCCTCCCTCACCGACTTTCTCCTCGTTCTACTTTTAGAGTTTCACTTTCATGATCTATCAATTAATCGGTTAACCTTGATTTAGTTGAGCTGAGGTCGTATTAGTCACAACAACCTTCAGTGTTAATAACACGACCAGAGGAAAAATAAGATGAGAATTCAGGCTCTTTTTAGCGAGCCGGATCATTTGGCTCAGCACAGCAATAAGAGCAGGATCTTCATTTAGGGACCACTTACGGCTTTTTTTAATTCAGCCAAATTTAGCTAAGTTTTGACCTATAATATCAGTGCACATATATCACTTAAATGAATGCTAATGTCAGCCTGCTAACATGCTTAAAGGCAGACCACTGTAGCTTAGCATGTTAGCATGCTGAGTTTTCATGATGATCATAACTAATCGAAGTACAGCAGAGGCTATCTAGTTCTGAAGTATTTGGTCATAAACAATTGGACAAATTCAAATTGTGACCTGATGATGAAGTTTAAGTCACAAATACAATTTTTAATCCTGTCTCCTTGTGTTAATTGTTCATTTATCTCGTTTTTTATATCAACATCACTCTCTTTTCTCTTCATTTAAAACTATTTTTCATGACTTGCTTTGAACTAGGGGGTGATTACCTGAATTTATTAGATCAAATGTGCTTCGGGGTGACTAGCTAACCCCATCCATCATATTAAACTTCACTTGACATCACTAGAGCACAATCATTGTCTAATTTATTCACTCAACTCTTATCCTGCTCTTCCTGATCCAACGTGGATAAAAGAGGTGTGGTTGCAGGTGAACAGTCCTCTGCAGCTCCGTATCGCAACCTATTCCTATTTTTGAATGTCTGCCTGCAATCCATCCAAAAGAGATATTTCTATTTCACTTAAAACCAACAAGAGATAGACAGAAATCTTCCCCCTGCATGATCATTCAGACAGACCTAAAGTCTGTGTGTTAAAAGCCAACAAAGCCGGTGTAAGACTGGTGTGTTCTGTAAAGGCGACTGATTGCAGTTTAAACTCTTTCCGATGGGTGATCTTGAATCACAAATCAGTATAAAAGGTAAAAAATAATTCAGGAATAAAAGCATCAAAGCCAAACCATCCCCACCCCCCCTTCCTCTGTTCTGAATGAATAGCTGACTCACCACGCTAATAACCAGTCCAGGAACAGAGAACCACTCCACAGAAAAAATAAACTATAAGCAGAGGGTTGAAAGCCAGAGGCAGAGAGAGTGGACCCCATGTGTGTGTGTTTGTATGTAATAATGACGCCCTGATCAAACCCTGAGTCAGTGGTTGTCAAAATAAGAAAGTTAAGATAAGAGGCAACCCAGAATAGGTAGAAGCGAACTGCAGGGCTCCTCGGGGAGTATGGGTAAATAAAAGGCTTCATACAGAAAAGGCTTTTTTTAATTAAAACAAAGGACTGCACGGACATTACATTACTGAGATTCTGGCTGCAAAGATATCTGCCAGCTTTGTGCCTGTAGAGTTAAAATCGTAACTGATTTTTCATATTTTGTGTGTAGTTTTAGCCACGTTAGCGTAGCACAGCACCACGGGGAAAGCTGTCGGTCTGTAGGACGGTCTGTCAGTCCACCACTTTGGTTTGGACTTAAATATCTCTACAACTATTTGAGGAATTTCCATAAAACATTAATTGTGGCGAGAGAATGAAGCCTAATGACTTTTGTGATCCTCTACAACCACCACCACACACAACCACTTTTTTTTTCTTTTTTAATTTCGCTGTAGATGCCCTTTTCCTGTCATTTCTGGATGTGCAAGTTAGCAATGATAAATATTTAACATCTGGTTAAACTTTCAAAATAAAGCTTGTGTGGTTAATGTTCTAAAAATTGTCGCACTTTAGAAGTTTAGGCTTGGTTAAGATTAGTTACGTTACGTTTCTGGCGTAACTTACGTACGTTACTTCAAAGAAATTGAAGGGATTCTTTTCAGGAGTTATCAATATCAGACAATTG